TTGTGGAAAAAACAAATAAAAGGGCCCAAAATCTGAACCTTTCCACTTCTTTTCTTTTTTAATTATTTCAAAATTCTTTTCTTTTATCAAAATTAAAATAAAACCTAAACTAAATCCTAACCCCAAATTATACTACCAAATTAAGTTAATTACTCAAAATAATACTTACCACAACTAATTAATTACCAAATTTAAAAAGAAAACCACAAAATTCGAAACTACGTGCAAAAATGAGTTATTTTTGTGATTTTTCTATTTTTGTAACACAACTAAATTACTAATTAATTTAAAAATGCAAGATTAAATCCTAAATGCAAATGCAATGTACTTTTGTATTTTTCATGAATTAAATAAAATAAACGTGCACAAAGAAATGCAAGCACTTAACAAAAGATTCTACAAAAATCCACGAAATTACAAACAATGGGAAAAATTTATTTTTGTTTAAATTTATGAGAATAATTCATATAGGGCAAAAATCACGTGCTCACATCTACAAGCCTCTAAGAGTACATAAGTATCACAAAGGTCGGGATTGGGCCCCGCCATACCAATCAATACATGTCCTAATTATACTAACCAAATAAGCAACTCCGGAGCAAATGGAGCGCACCAACACCTTTCGCTGAGCTGATAGCCTACTTGGATGACTCTCAACCTGTCTATCGGAACCTACGGGCATGAAACGCAGCGTCCCCAGGCAAAAGGGACGTCAGTACAAATAATGTACCGAGTATGTAAGGAATGATAATTAGTACACAATAGACATGAGAGAAACAAGGAGTAAAAGATTCGACATGTAAGTTTGAATAACTCTATAAATCATAAAATACTTATAGTGTCATGCATATGAGTATGAATGTCATGTCGTGCATAGGTACATGTGTTCATAACATCATCAAGCCTTTTAGGGCATCCCATCATATCATCTCAGCCACTGTGGGCAAATCATCAACGTATACCAGCTGATCAGGTGGTGGTGTGTATATAACGCCGTAATATTTTCCCATATTCCATATACATATATATACATATAAATACACGTATATAACGACATCTGGTCATGGGTCAATGTAAATGAATGCAATACATGAGAAGTACGTCAATAAAATCTTTCGGAGTGTCATAAGACCATTATACCTTTGATTAATATCATAAAATAAACTTTATCAACTTACGTATTTTCTGAGACCCATGAACAGATGATAGAATAATATGGCACATGGGGAATCAAGAACACAAGCATCTCTAGTATTTCTATGAATAGAGTCATTTATGAAAATTGTGTATTTGCTCGTTTCGTTTGTGTCGTATAGATCATGCCAAAAGAAAGAAGGAACATTATTTACATACCTGAACCGATTCTCTTGACAATCCTTCTAACACATGCCAATCGCGACGAAACACGTAACGGTAAGATCAAAATAGGGAACAATCCGTATGATATTCTTGAGAAAGATTGCGCCGTACTCCCTTAGAATCGCAAATCCCACGTTGCTATAATATTAAATGGTCTTCGTATGAAAGGTTTGAAGCAACTATGTTGCTATTATAAATTATTACCCTTGCTGAAATTTTCTTTCCTAACGTAGTAGATGACAGCAATTTGTTGTAAATTTGTATGAATCACGTTACATTGCCAATTTGTATGAATCTCTCTTAAATGAATTAGAGAGACTCTTTTGTATCATGTTATAAGGTCACACATTTTGCCTAATTGCGCCACCTATATTCTAGCCAAAAGAGTCACCTTTAGAGGCTTAGTTGGCTGCCACGTCGGGGTAGTGTCCCCCACAATATTTATCCAAAATTTCTAATTACCTTGTTAATCTTCATCTAAAAATTCATAATTAACCAATCCACATACAAAATTCATTTTCTTCGATTTGCTTACCCTCTCACCTTCACGAATTTACTCATCACTTATTTGAAATAGCATAATGCTTATAATCTCAAAATAATCTCATTTCCGAAAACGTCGATTAACTTACGACGAAACTTTAACGTACGAAAATACGGGATGTAACATCTCATTTCCGAGATCTCATTAATTTTTTTATGGCGTACTTTCATGTACGAAAATATGGGGTGTAATAACATACCTCTAGTTAATTTTGGAAATCGTAATTATGTCACGCGAACGTGTACGCAATTACGATAATAAATTAAATGCGCGCCTAAATGCATTTCTACGAAATGAATATTTGAAATTACAATTACGTCACGCGAACGTGTACGTGATCACGATGATTTGATTAATTAAACGTGTCCAAAAGCATATTACTGTCTAATTTCCTAGAATGTCAGATTACAAGAGGGGATTTCAAGCTAATGGCGTTAAAGTGGGAAGGTTATTGTAATTACTGACTTTGAAAATAATTAGGCTTAGTCCCAACATTTCATCTTTTAGGCAAACTAATGGGATATACAAAGTTCCTCCAAGGTTAACGATTTTGGGGGATAGATGACATTAAATTCCCACAACAGCATAATCAAAGTCCAAATGGGCTGTCCAGGTTTGTCTACCAGACAAACTTTCGAATTGGGCTTACTTACGGAGTCTGGGCCCATCAAGCTAAGCCTTAAATAAACTATCAGCTGAGTCCACTATTTAGAGCTCAAATTCAAATTAAGGGAACTCTACTAATTTAGGATTGCAGAGTTACCAGGCTTAATACGCAACTTTAATTTAGAAACAAATCTCCATAGGATTATTACTCTAAAGCTATAGAATCAAACATGCATGTATTTAACTAAAACATGTTTAAAATAATACAACAAAATCAACTATTATATTAAATTAACTTATCAGTACAAAAGAGGTATAGAAAGCAAATCATTACAAATTATTAATTAACTACAACCCCACGAGTTCAATTCCTTTTATAAATAAGGAAGCAGATCTGTATATTACTGCTCCTAACAGCTTTCTTCAAACATTATGCAGAAAGAGAGAAAATGATTTAGGCTATTGACTTTTCAATTGCCTTGTTAATCTTGATTTACAATGAGATAGCCACTGGGCCACTCTCATAAATCACCTAATCACCAGCGGTAGCTAAACACTCAAATGCAAATAAGATTAGTCTAACTGTTGAGTAATCCTTGTGTTTAATCAAAGAACAATTCCATTTTTAAATGCAAAAGATCAACACAAACTGACTTTTACTAATCAGCCCCCCTGCAAACACCATTTCAAACATGAACCACCGATTCTAGAAAATAAGTCATTATTCAGGGAAGAATCAATCAAACAAGGAGATGTTTTGAGCATGAAAGAACCTTTAGACTAGATCAATGGCCTAGCTATGACATTAGACTTGAATTATGACTAAACTAAAAGATAACATGTAATTGAAGTGATTCATGGAGCAACAGTAGGATCAACAAAGTTAAAACTCCTCATTTCAAGTTTTGTAAACATAAAAACATCACCAACACTCCTGAATTTGATAGGCTCATATTGATACTTGCATTAATAATGACTTTGGACCAAACCAGTCAACATAGCCTATATGTTCAGTTTTAAATGAATTACAGAATCATATAACCATCAAGAGAAACATAGATGAATCAGATCTAAGCATATCAACATCAGAAACACAGAGAAAATAGGTGTAGACAGGGTATTAGCATGTCAATTCTGTATTTCCACATTCATAAGAGTCACAAGAAGGAATCTTACATACCTATTTGTGAAAGACAACCAACAAACAGCCAAATAAAGGCTGAAAATTGGATACTAAAACTCAGCAAACTTAGAGGAAACAACAACCAATTAGCAGTAGATTAACAATGAAATCCCAGTAATGAAGCTTGACTTCAATTCCAAATCAGCTTCAAAAAACCAAGGTTGATCCAAAAAAAATACCAAACTTATGAAACCCTTTTTCACTCAATATATGAAAGAGACTGAATCTGTAAGAGAAGAACTTCTAAGGCAAAATTCTGTGTCCAAATCAGTCTAAAGGTGAAAGAAAAGAAGCTGTATTTTAGAAAGGTTTTTCTTATACAAAAATCAGTCTCCAAAAATCAAGGAAAAATAATTCTGAACTTTAGAGCTTTTAGTGTAAAAATCCGTATGAAAGTCTGCCTATTCATGAGAGGGCCAGGTGTCTTATATAGAATGTGAGTATGCTAAGGAGTAGGGAATAATCTGATGAAGGTACAACTCCTAAAGATAAGGAAAAGAGCATTTTTCTTCAACCAATTTATGTACAGCTGTCCCTTTGTATCAGATATTTTTATTTTTCAGCATCTTATCCTAACAATTTTGGACAGCTGTCCATTTCTAGAAGTTTCCAATCAGTTACTAAAGATTCTTTCAAGTTAAAACCCCCAAATTAACCTTTTAGCGTTTCAAAATTGCCTCAGAACCAAACCTGATTCTGGGCTTGAGTCGTGTGACTCTGATCCAAAGACCCCCCCCCCCCCCCCCAGTTCTCAAAACAAACAACTGAATTTGTGGGCCTGCCTATCACACAAACAGGCCCGACTTTGAGCCAAATCAAACGGTCAAATCAATTGGGGCCCAAACTCGAAATCAACATACAATTATACTAAACTAGCTTATGCATTTAACTAATTGGTCATGCAATTAACCTAAATAATCCTATTTTAATTGAACTAATCAAAACAATAATTAACACCTAACTGAGGATTCAAAAACAGAAAAAGAAACAAGTAAAAGGGAAAAGAAAAGTAAATTGATTTGGCCAAAATGAGTGGACAAACCAGGCGAATCAACGAACGACGATGACGATGAAGCTTGGCCGGTCAGCGTTGACTTCGCCGAAATCCGGCGAATTTTGAAATGAACCAAACTAACATGAATTGATTGCTCGTGTCAAGAGCAATCGACTCATGTAAGTTTGAACCAAAACATGCTTGAAATTTCCAAAGAAAACCATATTTAGGTTTATGATTTTCTTAGATTTAAAATTGGCCGAATTTGGTGGGGATTTTGGGAAAAAGGTTATGGGGTTTGAGGAGAGGGGAGGATGAGGAGTATAAGGTGTGATTTTGGGTGTGTTTGGAGACTGTACGTCGCCGTGAGGCGATTTCCGGCGGGCGGCAAACGGTGGGGATTTGAGAGAGGTGATAGATATAGAGACAGGTTCTGAGAGATGAATTGGGGGGGGGGGGGGAGGCTTTCTTCGACCGTTTTAAGGGAATGGGATGGGTGGTTATGGTCCATTGGATCAAAAGGAGATGAACGGTCACGATTTGAAGAGGTAAAAAACGGGGTCGTTTAGGTTTAGTAGGGCTGGACGGGGTTGGGTTTGGTTTATGGGCTGGGGCAGGTTTGTGAAAATTGGGCCATTGAAAAGCTTTAGCCCAATTTTGCATAAGACTAAACAAATTTCTTATTTCCCTTCTTTGTATTTTTTCTTTTCTTTTAAATTAAAATCCTAACCTAATTAATTAAAAACCTAGATTAGGTCCTAGATCAAAATATAAATTTTGAAATGAACTTAATTAACTATTTTAACATTTGAACAATTAATTAACTTTAAAACTAATGAAAGAAATTACTAATTTAAGACTAGAAACTAAAAATGTAAAAATGAACAATATTTTGGTGATTTTTGTTTAGTAATGCAATTAACTTATGCAATTAAACTCTAAATGCAATTAAGACCTAAAAATGCTATGTAACGAAGATTTGGATATTTTTGTTATTTTTATGATTTTAAAATGTTAAAAATGCATGAAAAATGCAAATAATTACCAAAAAAATCCTAAAAAATCTGTAAAAAATTAAAAACAATTAATAAAAAACTATTTATTGATTTTTTGGGAGTATTTGAGGCAAAAATTACGTGCTCAGAACTGTTATAGTTATTTTTCCCATTTCACTGCTGTTATGCTTTAAAGAATTAAACATGATTTAGTATTATTCAAAGCTAATTATGCCTAGTCCCTTTTCCCATTTCACTGCTGTTATGCTTTAAAGAATTAAATATGATTTAGTATTATACAAAGCTAATTATGCCTAGCCCAAATGGCGAAGCCAAGAAATTCAATAAGGGTATTCAAATTTTTAACATCCTTTGGCAATGAGCTATACAAGAGTGTTCAAAGTCTATTTTTTAATCAATAACAAATACCAATATTTTACCTTATACATAGTATAATTTTTCGGCAAATGATGTTCAGATGACCACCCTTGGCCATACATAACTTCGCTTCCCCCAACCAATATGAAACGCTTTATATTTTCCTCATACATTTGCCTCTCCCTCCAGCTCCATGTGCAAAAGATATGTAGGCTATATTTTCTGATGTAACTTCTTTTTTTTCCTTCTAAATGAACAAAATTAGAAGAAAAAAGAGGAAAACTTGTGAACTTGTGAATATTTTCTGTCATCTGTCATCATTTATCATCTACCACCGCACCTCCGCCTTAAAATGCTTAGAACTTGTGAATATTTTCTGCAGTTTTCTAAGTTCGAGATATGGAATTGAGAGCAACTACCTTCCTGTTTCTGCCTCCCTACCTTTATGTAACGCACCTCATTAATATTTATTTGACTCATAACAGAAAATGCCTTAATTGCACTACCTTAATAGTAACAGGTCAAAGATCAATTACTTCATTGTCCAGGTGGTAAAAGCACAAACTACAACATGCATGCCTTTGGACACTAGTCTACAAATTCCTGAACACTTACTGTTATTTATGGTCAATTTCTCTCACAATATTCCGTTAACTGTTTAGTATAGTAGAACTGTTATTGAACACGACAGGTTCAAAAGGAATTTTAGTGTTTGTTTTTATCTGCACATTCTGTTGTTTATTTTCAGTTATTATAGGAGATTCTAAAGAAAAAAGTCCAGGACTTGAGCTTAATTTCTATAGGAACAGTTGTCCAAATGCAGAACAAGTTGTGAAAGATGAAGTGAGTAGGTCTATGCTACTTGATCCTACTTCAGCTGCAGCCCTCCTAAGACTCGCTTTCCATGACTGCCAAGTAGATGTACGTACAATTCTCTCTTTCCCTCTTTCAGCAATTAGCAACGGTCAAGTTGTATTCATGTGACCTATATGTCACGGGTTCGAGCCGTGGAATCAGTCATTGATGCTGGTATGCCATTAGGGTAGGCTGCCTACATCACACCCCTTGGAGTGCGGCCCTTCCCCGGACTCTCAGTGAATGTGGGATGCTTTGTGTACTGGCTGCACTTTTATCATCATATTTCCGTACTACATATGTCGGGCGATAATCACATCTCAAGAGTTTGAAATCATGCGCGTCGAGTTCTGCCCTAGCAACATATTTCAGTTATAGAGAAAATATAAATAGCTCTCTAATACTTGCTTGATATTCCATCAGTTGTTTTAACCCGGTATTTAATTTCCTTTTATTTTTTTTTATTTTTTTGTTTTGCAGGGTTGTGATGGTTCAGTAATGCTAAGTTATTCAAATGGTTCAATAACTGAAACAGAGTCAGACATGAACTTTGGAGTACGCAAACTTGACTTAATCGATGGAACAAAGAGGTCTTTGGAGAGAATTTGCCCTCAAACTGTTTCTTGTGCTGATATCATTCAGTTAGCAGCTCGTGATGGTGTATATCTGGTACCAATTAGGAATGTTTTTTTTTCTTGTTTCTTTCCTCTTATGATCTATAACTATGGTTTATTTTTTTGAAAAAATAGGGCATCTCATTATAACTGTCATGCAATATTGACCAACAGGTACATGGAGCCAGGAATTCTAAAAGGGATTTAAAAAGACGCAAAAAGCTATACCTAGGATTGACCTTTTGACAGAGGGGATTCAATTGAACCCTCTTGCGTTCACCTAGCTCCACCCTAGATTGTATCCAAAATGATCCGTCAAAATATTAGGTCAAAACAATGTAATGTAACCGAAACGGCTCAATTGTGTTTTTGTGTTATTTTACAAGGAATGTTTTGTGTTTTCAGGCAGGAGGACCCTATATAGAGATTTTGACCGGGCGAAGAGATGGTAAATTGTCAAGCAAGGAAAGAGCTGACAAACAGCTTCCAGCTGCAGACATTTCTGTTGATAAATTCATTAAAATTTTCCAGCAGAAGAACATCTCTGTCCAAGAAGGAGTAGCCCTTATTGGTACAAACTACTTTTTCTGTTCCATATTATATGACACTCGTGACTCATTTCTATATTTGGCATAAAAAGTACATAGTACATTCAAGACCATAAGTTCTAGAGTACTTTTGGCATGCGGTAAAAGTCTTAATTATTCTTAAACTCTATGTCCAGTCAAATACATCATATTTGAGCGATTTTGATGCAGGGGCACACACGCTAGGCATCAGCCATTGCCGGAACTTTGAGAAGCGATTGCAGCCTCCAATAGATCCTACATTGTCAACCTCATTCAAACTTACTTTACTGGTGATTTGCAGCGATCCATTTTTATCTAATGTAACTTTTGCAACCAATGATGCTACTACTTTTGCATTTGATAATCGTTACTTCACTGATATTCTTAATGGAAGAGGACTACTCAAGATTGATTCTGAGATTTCAAGTGATCAAAGAACAAAACCTTATGTCCTTGGATTTGCAAGCAATCAGCAGCAGTTTTTTAACAGCTTTACATCAGGATTCTTAAAACTCTCGAGCCATAAAGTTTTGCTAGGGAAAGAAGGAGAAATTCGCAAGGACTGTAGGTTTGTGAATAATTGAATAAGATTTGTGTTGTGGCTCATCTTGTCAGCAAATCAGCAATCAATAACCTAAACTTACATATGTAGGGCAAAAAATTTAAGTTTTCTTTCAATCCAACTATGATAAGAAGGAAGAATATGACATCTTTGTTTATATCGACTTTCACCTCTCCATTGAATATTTGTGTTCAGTCATTCTCATCTGTCTGTATATATCTCACAGAGGTTTCAGTTTACGCAGCAATTCAAGCTACAGAATTAGCAGTTAATTTAAGTCTGCAAATATTAGCTGCTGATGCTACATGCCTTCTGACTCAGACCAACCTCACAGTAGTTAATAGGCAAAATACATAGTTTACCCATCGACCTTTTACCCAAATCCCTGTTACACACCTCTCCACTACGGGCAACTTTTTACCCACATAACCTTTGTAGAGTGTGTCTAAGACACACCACTTTTTTCTTACCCAGATTTTCAAAGCATGTGTACTATCACGCGACAATAAGGTCGTGACACTTGTCACTGACCAATAATAAAAAAGATAGCACATAAAATTATAATTTTATCCCCATCTTCTTCATCTTGTCCACCATAACTGCCATCATCAAGCATTCATTTTCTTTTTGTGCTCTTTCGATTCCCTCAACTGAAGCAAACGAGGTAGTAATAATAATAATTATTTGTAAACTCACCCATTAACAAAATTAAAGAATGTGCTTATCTGGAAAAGCTTGAGCTAAGCTTTAATAGTTGGGGAAAATTTTAAAAATTTCACCCTTTCAGAAATTTAACTTAGCCACGGCAAAGCTCAAGTCTGGAGAAAAGAAGAATCTTCTGTATATAAGTTTAAGCCTAGTTTTAATGGTTAGTGGAGCTACAAATTTGTGAATTCTAATTACAATTTCTCAACCAAAAAAAAAAAAAAATCGACAAAGCTAAGGACTAACCAACAAGAGAGATATGAGAAATTTTGGTGGGTCTTCTTGAGAAGAAGTAGATCGAGTGGAGAGAAGTGGGTCTAAGCATCAAGGAGTAGCTATGGCAGATTTAATAATTTTTTTAAACAAGGAAGAAGATGACCTTAATTTAAATTTTAAAAAAAATAAAAAAATTGACATCTGATATAAAAATTCTCATGTTCACGCGCTTCATTTGTTGGTAAAAACACGCATTGACCACGTGGGAAAAATGATATGTCTTAGACATACTTTACAAGGGTTGGATGTGTAAAAGGTTGCCCGTGATGAAAAGGTGTGTAATAGAGATTTGAGTGTAAGGTTAATGGATAAACTATGTATTTTGCCTAGTTAATAAAATAAGGAATCTGACAGAATGAGCAAAGCTTTAAAATGTAGCAAGACCCTCATTTTGTCGTGGTTGGTCAATTGAACCGCCCGTGTGGATGTGTAGGTCGATTAACAGAACCACGTGACTTTATATTTTCTTTGTTAGAGTTCTTTTTGTTGTTTAATTATCGTCGTGCAAAGTTTGATTTGTTAGTTTTGCATGACATACAGATTATTTTGATCTTATCATAAACCATTAATTACAAGCTAAATAACGAGCCTGACTATCTAGAAATTTCAGGACATCAATAACAATAAGAAGAATTAACTCAAATATCTGCTCATCCAACCGCTTAAACTAAAAATAGCAGGTAGAGGTATAATATATGCGTAATTAATGTATTATATATGTATAATCGTGTATAATCAATGTCTAATTTATATATATGGATAGAAAAAATAAACAGTGAATATGACCGACTATCTGGGTAAAGATCGCGTACTGAGCTCCTACTTAAGAAGCTTAATACTAGAACTTCATCAATCAAAGGGATTGATGAAGTCTTCAGTATAAATCAAGTTTTTAGTTGCATAAGCACAGTATTAAATTTTATGAACTAATAATCTACATTGCATAGATGTAAAATAGATGTACATTCGTACAAAATTAGACAAAATTACAACTGATCATCCCGCAAGTAACATAGAGAACAAGATGGTGGAAGGTCACCTGAAATGGCTTGATTCATCGACCTAAAACTATTTTTCTTTCACTAACCAAATACCAAAAACATGTTATAGGAAAATACTTTTCACATAAGACAGAAAATATTTTCCAAAAATTATTTACGTAAAACACAAGTTTTAGCTAGGCAGGCATTATCTATTTTTTAGTAACTATGTAAAGTAACTTTTTCGGTAATATCTGATCATGGAAAAAAAAAAATACCTTCGCTCAAATTTAACAAAAATTCACAAGTTTGAAGGGATAGGCTTATCCAGCCTATGACACGTGTCGCCACTCAAATGGGATTCTATATCTCTAAAAAGATACACAAGTTTGCCACATGTCTTGCTTGGATCCACGCAAAAAGATCAAAAAGCAAGACATCAATTGCCAGCCCACACTCTGCATTCTGAAAATAATTTTGTTAGTTTGGAGTGAAAGCCATGGCATCTTTGGCAAACTTTGCTGCAGTGCAGCCTACCACCAATGTCAAGGGCCTAGCTGGAAGTTCCATTACTGGAACTAAGCTTCATCTCAAATCATCTCGCCTCAATTTGAAGCCCACTAAATCCAGGTAAATGGATTCCCCTCTACCTTCTTGTGATTGCCAACTGATAATTATTGTCGAAATGTGTGACCACTTTATCTAAAAGTTTGTACTGTTAGACAAAACATACTTTTGATTTACTTAATTATATTTTCAACACGTCTCCTCGTGTGCATTCTGGCGCTCTTTCTCGAGCCAAAAAATTTACTGCAACATCTATTTGATAGTGACTTAAACTCAATATCTCTGTCAACTGTGATAATACGTTGAAATGTGTGATCACCTTGTCTAAAAGCTTAAGCCGTTAGGAGAGCATGATTTTAAATAACTAATCATGTTTTCAACAATTCTCGGTGTCATCTATGAACATCCATTTGTTGGGGTGTGTGTGAACAAAGTCCTACATAGAAAATAGAAAGGCAAAAGAAGCTACTTATAAGGAGTTGAATACTCTTAATGGTGTGAGGTCTTTCAGAAGAAACAGACAATATCACACCTTGTTACGAGTATCTTTGGCCGTTTTAGCCCAACAAGATTCAGTTCATCTAATAAAAGAAGGAACTTTTAAAAAGAATAAGTTCCTCTCTTCATATAGTCACTGAAGAAGGGGATAAAAATGACGTTGGATTGGATGTATTTATGCGTATAAGCATGGCTTGTTTTGGTCATTATGAAGTGAATAAATACATGTTTGTGTAGGGCTGGCCCTGTGGTCGCCAAATATGGTGACAAGAGTGTATACTTTGATTTGGAGGATTTGGGCAACACCACTGGCCAGTGGGACTTGTATGGATCAGATGCACCTTCACCATACAACCCTCTTCAGGTATTTTATTTTCGCCCACATCATTGATGAATAAATTAAGATTTTAGTGTTGCAGCAGGTGTCTGAGTTATAACTGCCTCGCCTGCTCCTGCTTTGTGTTTTGTAGAGCAAGTTCTTTGAGACATTTGCTGCTCCATTCACCAAGAGAGGCCTTTTGCTCAAATTCTTGATATTGGGAGGTGGCTCCACCCTCGCTTACTTCAGTTCGACAGCATCAGGGGATATCCTACCAATCAAGAAAGGTCCACAACTTCCACCCAAGCTCGGCCCACGTGGCAAGATCTAATTGCTTTTTGATCCAATTATCAACCTTCTATTTGTAATTGATGTATGTTTCCCCAGTTTGTGTAAGTATAATTGAAGACTTTCCATTATATCAAGTTATATCTTATGGTAAATTTGTGGCATTGCTTTCTTACTTGGTTGCTTCTGATATTCTACTCAAATAATTGGGATATTAACTTTTATTAGTTCATGTTGGTGATCATTCCTATTTGGTGTTGTAAATTACACTATTAAAATTACCAACTTTGACTTCTATAAAAGGTCAGAAACTTCTATGTAACATAACTAAAAGAGTTCCTTGCCTTAGTTTGTCTGTGAATTTCAGCAAATTTTTGATATATTCTCACCTTATACTTTCTTTTGGTGAAGTGAAAGAAGGATTTAAGATAAGTTGCCGGTGAATTAACTAATAACCAATTAATGATTCTGTAAAGTGCAAACCAAATAGACTTTAAATAGTGAACTACAGATCATGTTACTAATAGATCTGAAAACCAGAGGTTATTCAAGGTAAAAGGTCTGTAATTCCCATTGTTGTTCAACAACAAGGTGACATCTTGTACTGAGTAAATCATTTCAAGAACTGCCACAGACCCAGTAGGTCTACTAACTGTATCCCTATTTACAAAAGGAATGACTTAGTGAAATCCTAGATTGGTATGCTTCATCTCGATATGTACATTTGACGCCGAGCTTTCTTAATCTGATGAAACTCTAGTCGTCGATCCTTGCCTCTGAAGAGTCAATCAGTATTCTGCAGTGAAGTCTGCTAGTGGCGTGCTGTTGGACTTCTGGAACCAGCTAAATTCTCTAAGTAAGACACTCTCTTATTAGTGACTATATTTGGAGGTTTGCTTAGGAGCTTTCCATCAGTGTCTTTGGTTCGGTCCTCCTTCAATTCTTTCTCAGTATCATCGTCTCCTTGTTCCGCCCCCCAACCCATGAAATCCAGCAGTGTCATTGAATTAGGAGTCTCTGCAGAATTAAGCTTCTCTACTTCTTCCTTACCATCCGGGAATGCTTCTGATGCTGCGACTCCTAAGGAATCATCCCCAGGAAACCTCTTTACCTCTCCATTGGCAGGATTTTGGGCCACAGCATCTGCTTGGAGAACATCTTCGATTCGTGACATGACTGTGTATGCCCTGCTTTCAATTATTCTCGAATAGCTTTCTAAAATAGCTTGCCCAACATCCTGTTAGATAAAAATAGATTATAAGTTAAAATTTTAAAGTTCAAGAACTAGATTATTTATAATATATTGAATCCTTTTGTGAAGTCAAAAGGAGATCAAAGAAGAAAAGATGGAACAAACTTGAGAACCAAGCAAATGCAGATGAATGTTATGGTAATATAAACAATGTAATTGCATATCATACAGAAGCAAGGTAAAATAGTCTCGACTCTTTAGAATATCAACAGGGGTTGCTTCTTACTCTGTTGTACTGGATTTTGCTTATGTCTAGTGATGACTGAGGAATTCCAGGGAACCGATGCTTTAGGATAAGCAAGATAGTCTCTGCTCTTTCTTCAAATAACTCTCTCTTCTCCATACTAACGGCTGAACCCCAGGCTGATTTCCCATCTTTAGCATTCATTTTTCTTCTCCATATAATTACAGATGCCTCAATCCTGTTCTTGAGGTCTAATATTTTATGTTCCGAAGACAAGTCCATAGTTGAAAGGAAGTAATCAGGATCAAAGTATTCATCAGTAATGCTCCTGTATATCGAATCTCCAAGACTTGCTCTTCCATTCTGAACACAACATAAAAGAGTAATAAAAATCAAGATCATAAGCTTGCAGTTAGCTGTACTAAGATTCTAAGTTTTTAATCTATTTGTACCTTCGGTAGGGATTCTATATAATTTTCAGGGACCTCCATTTCTGTTAGAACTTGAGCATTTATGGCCATGGCTGCTTTATGTACTTGGTTTACAGAATCTTTCTGAAATTGCAGCCATTTTCTCGTAGCATCGGACAAGCCATTAGGAGGAACCTTAGGTGTAGGTATCCACCATTTGTCATCTGCCCTGCTATTTTTTCCTTCATCATCCTTGGACGTATAAGAGATTTCACTTTGGTCTCTAAAACTATCTAAACAATCCTGTTTGTTATCAAACCAAGCATAAGCATAATTGATCGAGCGAATTACACTATTTAGAATGACATAAAACCCCAAAAAATAAATCAAAGAAAAAAAAAAGTAGTTTTATCTTACCAGAAGCATCGCGTCTAGTTTGCGTAGTGCTGGGATGTTCATTTGAAGATCAGTTCTCTGCTTTGTCACCATAATCTGAGAAGTACACATGCGGCTCGTGTTAGTTTGCTATTTAGATAGGTGACATATGTGAAGAAGAATTTCAGGGGAGAGAGGTGTATATACCTCCATGTTTGTTCCATCTTTTGATTTTTGTTTAGAAGGAACAAATTCAACAATATGATCTGTAACAGATAAAAGCCAATCAATTTCTTTTCTCCACTTGGCTTTTGTCTCTGGTTGCATGGGCTCTAATCTCTTCTGTTCCCCAAATGCAGAAGCTGCATTTTGTAAAACAAACAAAAGATATGAAAACGAAGCATACAATGAAACCTTCAAATGATCTCTGTAGAAAAATAACAGACAAAGATGAGATATTTTTTCTGGTGATACATATATTCATCAGAATTTTTTTCTTTTTTCTGGTGATATATATATTCATTTTTTCTTTAGCTGAGAGTGTATCGGAAACCGCCTCTCTACCCATCTAGGGTAGGGGTAAGGCTGCGCACATCTCACCCTCCCCAGACCCCACTTGGGGAATAAACTGGGTCGTTGTTGCTGTTGTTGATACATATATTCATCAGATAAAGGTATATATATAGCTGAGAATATGGTAGGATTCAGATACCTGCTAAGTTTGTGATTGCATTTGACAATGCCAATGCTGATGAAACACCCTTTCCTCCGCCAGACATATCCTCACCAAGGAGCAACTTGGCAAATTTTTCCTTCATCAGCTCCATATCTGAACAAGAATGAGCAGAGTACGTTCGTCAAAAATATGATCAAAACACGAGAAATAGAAAAGATTAGGAACAACGAATTCTGATAACAGAACTCCGTGAAAATTCATTTCAGCCAAAAGAGCGAATAAACGAAAAATGTGATAACATTTTCAACAAGACTAAAGTTTTCTCTTGAAATAGTAAGAAAAGCAGAAGAAAATGACATGCCTGAAGGCTGGTTCTGGTTGATGTTAGCGGAGCCTGAATCGTCGGCTTTATTACGTGACTTGATGGTCTCTTTACGAAGAAGCTTCAACTCATTAACCTTTTGAGATTCAGCAGATGGAATCCCTTTCTCTTCTTCTTCTAGTGCTCGAACCATTTTTTCTGATTCAAGCCGAAAGAATGTTGCCTTACGCGGCGAAGTTTGAGACCATAAAGCAGAAATATAATATGATATGGAGATTGATGAACAAACTGGAAACTTTTGGCGTCAGAAAAAGGAAAGGGTTTCAGCTGGCGCAGATAGGAGAAGAGAAAAGGAGACAGAAGTTTTCTTGATAGAGAATGAAGAAGTCTTTTGATGTTTGTTCTCTTGTTTTTGTGAATGGTTGAGAGAACGTGGGGTGCATGTTTTTGTAAAATGAAAGATGAAATTGAAAACAGGTCATTTCTGTTGTTTTACGAATTTAGGAAAATTCCCCTCTTTGGCTTATACTTACAATTTTTCTTGCTTTTTTTAGAAGAATATTGCTGAGACAATGGATGGCTGAATTTTAACGTCGGGCCATCCATTCAACGAATTAAAGAATCAAGAATAAAAAAAGACAACTTTTTCTCCTCAAATATTTGGGATGTTCAAATAGGAAGGCGGTTCTCTCAAGGTTGACAAGTGGCCTTTTACTTTAGTACACAACAGGATTGCGTCGCACGACCTGCTTCTGTGTAAGCAAGAGTCAACTTCTATTGTAGAAATTACATTTCTGTAATGTTAACTTCTATTCGAGAATGTGATTCCTTTTTCTGTAATATGATTGCACTTTTCTTGATTTCTTTCTATATCTATTAGAAATTACGATGCATAAGCATGTTAACTTATAAACAACATAATATTACTCCTTGTTCCACTTTATGTGGCAAAGTTTGATTAATCACAACGTTTAAGAATATATTTTTTTTGAAACTTAATGGTCTAAAACAAGTTATAGATATTTGTATAATTGTAAATTATCTCATTTAGAATAAAATTTATTTTTAAAATTATTTTTTTGGAATAGACAAAAAAAGGAAATGTTGCCCAATAAAATGGAACATAGCGAGTACTCCCTGTGTTCACTTAATTGTCAAGTATTCTAAAAATAAATTTTTATTTTTACTTGTCACTTTTCGCATATCAAGAGAAAAATAATTTATTTTTCTTGTTTTGCCCTTAGCATTGATTACTCATTCCAAATCCATTAAGACTATACACCAATTAATATGGATATCATGGTAAATTATGTACTTTATTTATTATTTCCTAAGGGGCGTGCAAAGTCGATAGTTGTTAAATGATATAAGGGTAGTACTGTAACTACACCATTTAAAGTTAGTTATTAGTGATCACTAATTAGTTAAGTTGTTAGATTAGTAGTTAAAAATAGCGACAAACGAAGGAATACCAAATCTGAATTCTGGACGAAATACTGGAAATCAAGTGCATCAAGTAACTGGGATCGATTACAATCATCCTCTTTTCCTCTCACCTGCTAATGTTAGCGGAATTCAAATCATTTTATTTCAGCTAACAGGTATTGAAAACTACTCTATTTGGAATAGGTCTATGAGAGTAGCCTTGTTAGGTAGGAATAAACTTGGCATTGTTGATGGTACATGCAGTAAGGATAAGTTCCCAAATTCAATGGGAAATCATTGGGAACGAGTAAATGTCATTGTTCTATCTTGGATGATGAACTCTGTGACAAAGGTCTTCTTGGAGGATTATGTATGCCTCCAGTGCTCAAACTGTTTGGGAAGACTTAGCTAAAAGATTCAATAAGGTTGATGGCTCAAGAACTTTCAATTTACATAAGAAATAGCCACCTTAACTCAGGCTCTGCATCTGTCTCGGTATATTTCTCAAAACTTAAAGATCTTTGGGAAGAATTTGAGGCTTTGGTTCCTGCACCTGGGTGTGATTGTCCTAAATCAAGGAATTTTGTTAACTACCTACACAAATTGAGGCTATACCAGTTCCTAATGGGATTAAATGAGTCTTACTCACAAGCTCGGAGTCAAATACTTATGAAGACTCCTTTACCTACTGTGAATCAAGCCTATGCCTTAATAGTGAGTGATGAAAGTCAAAAATCTATAGCAGCAAATTCTGGGATTCTTGGAGCCAATCCTGTAGAAAATTTTGAAGTTGCTATGTATACTAGACATGGTGGAGGTGGACAAGGCCAAAGGTTCAAGAAAAACTTTAATGTTCAATGTGATTATTGCAAGTTGAAAGGCCATATAAAAGAAAATTGTTATAAACTTGTTGGGTATCTTCAAGAGTTCAGACAAAAGAAAAGAGGAGGATATAATGCAGCTCATAATGCTAACATTTTGAATGAGAATAATGATAATCAAAATCAGAATTCTGATGTGCCTACTGGTGTATATGGAAAAAATGCTAATGTCATGAACCAGTCTGCTTGTGGAAATCAGATGCCTTATAGTCAAGGACTGGAAGCAATTGCAAATCAGTTGGGAAACTACACATTCACAAAAGACTAGTATGATCAGATTGTTCAGCTGTTGAATAAAGGAGTAATCTCAACAGTCACTAACAATGAAGTTTCAGCCGCTAATGCAACAGGTACTGATACTGATACATCATTATTGGTTTCAAATGGCTCACAAGAACGGATCATGGACACTGGTGCAACAAATTACATGGTGTCTGATACTAATCTTCTGAATAAGTCTACTATAGTTCAGACAACCAATCCTAAGAAGGTTATGTTAATTAATGGTGATGTGTCACTAGTCACACACACAGGGGCAAGTTCAATTTTTTGATAAAAGCACTATAACTAATGTTTTTCATGTGCCTCAATTTACGTATAATCTTCTTTCAGTTTCAAAAATAACTAAGAATTACAGTGTGCTGCAACATTTTTCCCTGACTTTTGTGCTTTCCAGGATCTCTTCACTGGGAAGGTAAGGGAGATTGATAAAGAAGTAAGAGGATTATACATACTACTAGCTAGACTGGCAGAGAATAGGCAAAGGGTTGTGTATGCTGCAAAGGGATTGGCTGCAGGTGAAACAAATCAGATCAATGTGGAGTTATGGCATCAGAGAATTGGACATGTGTCTGTTCTAGTGCTGAAGAAAATACTGCCTATTAGTGTACAGAATATCAGAGATAAAATAGATAAATGCACAATCTATCCTTGTGCTAAATAAACTAGATTGTAATTTCCTTCTAGTGATATTAGAAGTATATACTGTTTTGATTAGATTCATGTAGACCTATGGGGTCCTTACAGAATAGCTACATTTGATGGTAATAAGTACTTTTTAACAGTTGTAGATGACTACAGTAGAATGACATGGGTGTTTCTTCTTAAACAAAAATCAGATGTATATCAATGCTTATAACATTTCTTCAGTTTTGTCAAGACTCGGTTTAATAAGGTCATCAAGGTTATTAGAACAGACAATGGCACAGAGTTTGTAAATTCCTTGTGTGAGCAATTGTTTAAGAATCTTGGGATGATTCATCAAAGAACCTGTGCTTACACTCCTCAATAGAATGGAGTAGCAGAAAGAAAGCACAGACACATTTTAGAAATAACAAGAGCTATAAGACTACAAGCTAATATTCCCTTAAGGTTCTGGGGTCACTGCATTTTGGCTGCAGTATACATACTTAACAGATTACCTAGCTCAGTAATTGCAAATGTGTCTCCTTATGAAAGGTTATATAACAGGAAACGTTCTCTAAATCACTTAAGAGTGCTAGGCTGCCTATATTTTGCTAAAGTAATTCAGGAACATGACAAGCTAAAGTCTAGATCAAGAGTATCTATACATATGAGATAATCAGAAGTTCATAAAGGCTATGTACTATATGATCTAGAGAATAGGTCCTTCTTCATCAACAGAGATGTAATATTCAAGGAAAATATCTTTCCATTTAGAAGAACACTTCTTCAATACCTATATTTATAGACACTACATCAAATGTAGGGTCATATATAGACAATTCAAAAATCTTTTTTGAACAAAGGATTGATACACAAACTAATACAGGTCACAATGGTGACAATTCAAGGAATTCATCTACAGCTGTCGACGCCCCCTTTTTCTCGCGAAATCGGGTTTACGACATTCGGGAAGACAACTCTATTCCCGTTTGGGAATTGGGTTTTTGGAATTGAAGAGTCGCCACCTAATGATTGGGTGCATTAAGACACTAAGAAGGGTTTTGAATTGGAAAACCAGAGTTCGGGTAAGGGCTAGAAATTATCTCGGGGGGAAGGTGTTAGGCACCCTCAAGATCCACTAGTGTGGTTCCCGGCCATGCTATGTTGTGACTTTAATGTAAACAAGTATGCAAATAAATTTACACATAAGGGTTGCTAACAAGCATGTTGGAATTTATAAACAAAGAAGAAAAAGGGATAATGCAGTAAAAAAATAAAGGGGAGTTTTTGGGTAATTGAAAAGACAAAATTTATTGATATTAAACAAAGTAACATAGGGCAAGGGGTCCTAGGTTTATAAATCACATGGATCATCCACACAACACCGGTAACCAATCGTACGCGTAGTGTTATCGTGTGATCATCATCTCCATGTCTACCCTTCCCACCCCGATAAGGTATTAAGCGCGAAATGGTGTCGTTACCTACAGCGTGCTATTACCCGTCCCACCTATCAGTCCTGGAGGCTTTAGGACCACTAATCCTAAAGGGAGGGAGCTTGGCTTTTCAGAGGTTCAAAAGGTTAAAATGCTAAGGCGTCAGGCAAAACACATAAAATAATTATGGGAGCACAAAAACAATTAAGGCTCAGACAAACCTCCTTTAATCACAGAAATCATATAGTTTAGCACGTCTTACATATACTGATTAGGTTCAAATTATGCTTAACGTTAGGCAGGCTGGTTCATTACATATTTTTAGACAAGAAGTTCGCATTAGGCTCGCCTGGCTATAACTTATCGAAGACTGGTGCAATTAATTAACTACTTACTTGTTTGCCTAGGTGATGGCATCTACTGGTTTCAGGAATAAGAAAGTGAACTGATTACTGAAAGTTGCCAATTTTAATAGAATGATACGAGTTCTGCATTTGGTTACTACTGACGGACTAATCTTAAAACGAGTGATTCACATTGGGTTAATAGTTCCTATAGGCATGCTTTCTAGCATTGTTAATTTTACACACTTTTTACAGGCGTGGCAAGAGTGCAGAAAATCCTACGAGCATGGTATCTAGGATGCAATTGATTGTTATTTTGACCTATAACTGTTTGCCTAATGATAGATGCAAAAAATGCAGAATCTTAAAGACATGGTTCCTACATGCGGAATTCTTATGAGCAGGATATCTATATGATATGCAGAGTTCTTATGAGCATGATTTCTATATATATGAAAGTGCAGAATTCCTATGAGCATGGT